ACAAACAAGTATAGAAATTATACCTCTATGTATATAACGGACAGTTCGTATAAAAGTGCGAACAGCCGGAACAGGCAGGGATGTGGGGGTGCATTCCGACAGAAAATAAATGTCGTGCCCATCATCTAACCTGCGAACGGGCATACTCTGGGTACGAGATTGGCAGAAAATGTTCGTATTTTTGAGCCCCTGGGGGTTTGAGGCAATCTTTTAATATATTCCACCTAGACTAAATGAGCTTCTAGCTAGTATTATTCAATTCAATTTACTATTCAAAGTACTAAATGAAACACTTCAAATGAACAAAATCGCTGAATGTGATTAAGCAATTTAAACAAATCATCTATTAATTCAACAAAAACAAAAACAAAGTTAATTCTTTTTAAATCTCTATCAATAAAAAGAAACAGGAAGTAAAACTCATGAACAATCAATCTAGCTATATGCTTATATATTTCACAAGTGAAAAACACTACATTTTTAGGTGTCGTCATTGACGAACATTTAACTTGGAAGGATCATATATAGATATAATAACAAAAAAAGGAGTTTGGGTAATGGTCGAGTGTCGAGGGTCATAGGTCGAGGGTCAAAAGTCGAGGTCGAGGGTCAAAAGTCGAGGGTCGAAAGTCGAAAATACTAAATTTTTATCCATTTTAAAAGTTTTACAACCATTAAACGCGGCAAAACAATTAGTTTTGCTGTCAAAACTGAAAAATTTCGCCTATGGCTATGCCGTATGGCTATGTACTGGCTGAAAGTTTCGCTTGTGGAACTAAAAGTCTGATGCGAGGTTTGATGTTTGAAAGCATACATCTTTTATTTTACATTGGAGTTTAAAATATACAAACACGGACGATTATACAAAAATGGCGTTTCACTCTCATGAGAAATTTGATTATAGGTATAAATATGCATGGGCGTACCGGAAGGAAAAAATTAGGGGGGCGGAAAGAAAATTGCCCGACTTTTCGAGATTCTGCCCGACTTTTCGGGATTCTGCCCGACTAGGACGCCAAAAAAATTTCGGTCAGTGTACCATTTTAGGGGTCAAAAAAATTTTCCGGACAAACAATTTTTCCGGAGCATAACATAAATTTTCGAAAATGCACAAAATTTGCCAAAAAATTGAATTAATTTTAGACAAAATTGACAGAATTTGACCCATTTTTTTTTATTGCAAACCAAAATTGCCCGACTGTTCATCGAATATTGCCCGACTGCCCCCCCCCCGCCCGGTACGCCTATGTAAATATGTTATCTCTTGGAGGCGAAAGAGTTCTGAAATTCTCAGAACTTCAACTTAACGATACTCCTCATACCGCGTATGGTTTTGGAGGTTTAAAGCGTTAGGGTGTGCGAGAAACATATATATATATTATATATTTTATAACATCATGTCTGCACCGGAAGTGCACATGTTCGATTGACAGTTTCATATTCATAATATAGTTGCGAGAACGTTGTAGTGTAATAAAATGGAAACTTTCTTTAGTTATTCTGTCAAAAATAACATGCACGAAGCACGAATCTTTATAACAGGGTGATTTTAGTCGGGTTCAGAATTTACGACCATAGTGAGAGATTTTTGCTGCGCTGGGACTCGATTCGTTCTGATAGTACAATAAATACAATATACTTTCGAATCACCCCACCGGCACCGTACGTTCTCGAATAGTTTTACTAATTTTACACTTTCTCGAAAAACAAAAAGGAACCTAATTATGCCCTAAGGCATGTTCTGTACTAACAGTAATGAAGTTAGTTATCAGGAGAACCTTTAAAATTTTGACAACAAATGCCAAAAACGTAGTATTCTAAAAATGTAGTAAAAAAAATTTAATATTTCCCATTTTCGACCCTTGAATTTCAACCCTCGACTTTTGACCCTCGACCTCGACTTTTGAGCCTCGACCTCGACTTAGTAATGTTACCAGTTTGTTCATGTTCAGATATCATCACTTGAAGAATTTACCAGAATTTTTACAAACTACTGTCTATATACTACTATGCAAATAGTAACACCCGAAATTCGTTTTTATACCCGTAATTATAACGGACTGTTCATTATTTATACCCGGGGTTGGTACCGAAGAGAAGCGAAAACACTGTAAATTTTTTATTTACCCAACCTCAACATTGGTCAAAATAATCTTTACCCAACCCATGTGTTACTGTACATCATAATAATTAAACACATAATAATTAAACACATGGTGAGATAAATCAAGTTGCCTAATTTTTAAAAGCTCATTCACCCTCGAATTCACTGAGTGTGCCAAACCAATCACGTTTCTGCTGATCAATGATAGAGTCCTTCCTCTATCAGTATATCACTGATGGTCTTTTTTGGTACAGAATGTATTGTACACATTTTTCTTCATATTTTCCAATGCATGGTAATTTTGGTTTTATTTTATTTTATAGCTGACAAACAGCCATAATTTTTTTTACCCAACCCATGAGCTAGTCAAAAACTTGATTACCCAACCCATATCTCTTCGGTACCAACCCCGGGTATAAATAATGAACGGTCCCTAAGTCGTATCAAAGAACAAACTATGCAGGCCTCGAAATAAATCGGGGCGTTATACCGGTCATTATATCCGGTGGATCACAAAATTTACCGGTCACAGCGGAATTTGTGCCGGTCATTGTCACTCCTTACCTCCTTTTTCCCGCTCATCTTTCGCGTGATTCGTGACTTTAGAAACAATTTGTATTTTGAATTGTATTAATTTGTGTACAAAGTAGAAGAATGGCATTAATCAAAGCTGTAGTAGTAATTACAGCGCAATTTACACAATACACATGAATATTTCGTATTTGGACGCTGACAAACAGAGCAATTGTTTGCCATGCTTGCTTGTTAAGTCGCAAATGACAACTGTAATTTGAGTTGCGAGCATGCTGTAAGGCTTCATTCCAGTTACGCGTTTTTCATATTTGCGTACACGCACGTAAAAGTTGAAATCGCTTTACATCCTACTTATGAAATAACTAAATTTATTTAGTATTCAGTTTTGTGTATTTAAACTTTTCTGTCGCACGTGTGAAAAACGCGTAACTGGAAAACAGCCCTTAGGCACAATACTTGCGGTATATCGTATCCGTACGACAAAAGTGTCACTTCGCCGCCCTTATTAACCTGCGCCGAAAATCAACTATCAAACTTGGAAAATCAACAATCTGCTCTATTTTTGAACGTACGTTTTTGTTTAAAAAAATTACCGGTCACGCATGTCCGCCAAGCGACGATATTTGCCGGTCAAACTGTAAAATTTTACCGGTCAGTGACCGGTGACCGGCACTTATTTCGAGGCCTGAAACTATATATGTCAAACATTCACTCGCTAACAAAGGAGTTAATATCTGGAATAATCTTGACATAAAATTAAAAAACCCTGTATCATATGAAAAAGCAACACTCTTCATTCTTCAATCTTTCAATTTAATGTACTGATAAATACATTACTTCTCAACATGTAAAACGGTAAATAGATCTAATATACAGTATATAGTTTAATATTGTCATACCCTCATAAAAAAAACTATCATGGTATAGACTATAGTACTGTTTGATGTCACTGTCACTTTTAGCATTTTTCTTTTTTGTTCTGCATGTTTGTAAATTAGGATCGATATCTAGTTAACTAGCTATAGGATGTCAGTTTGGACTAATTGATCTCGTGTATAGAACTTGTGTTAGTAGTTTTGGTGATGTTGTAGGCTTCCTGTAAGAAATCCAAATTGAAGATATGTGGTTTACAGGACATATGCTTGTAACCCTCACAAACATTGATATTAAATGGAAAGCCAAGCCAAAGATATGGCCATGCAAGGGTCGATAGTTTCATTAGATACCTTTTGACTTGCCACAAGTCTGTCTCAGAAAATTGTAGTTTTATTTGGGAGTGCATGTAAACAACATAAATGACTCATGACTAATAGTGATAATCGAAACGCGGACGTGGAGCCCACGTTTGCGTAGGCGATGAATGTCTGACCATATCACATATTTATTTTTAGACTTTCGAGTGCTGAGGAAACGAAACTTGTGGTTTTCAGGCTTTTAGCGACTAAACTTTATAGTCGCTGAAAACCACAAATCACTAAACCCATGTCAATGTCAATACTCCTCCTGCGAAGAAAAAGATTTATAATAGGTAAAAAAATCCCCATCCATCTAGATCTAAAATCGTGTTGAAACTGACCATGCGGATAATAAGCAATTGGATCTCAATATGAATGGGCGTATTTAATTGAATTTATAATTACACAATAAACAATATGCATTTGCAATGTACGTATAAAAACATATTATGGAAAGTACTTTAGGAGTTTACGTATATAATATAATATAGATGATCTCTGATAGATGACGTTCCGAAAGCGAAAGCTTTAACTATAGTATGTCCATACTAGTTATATATAGTTAACTAGAAAGTCTTATAGAATGTAGTAAATGGTGAATCTAGCCAGTAGCCCGGCATTATTTGGTTGAGCAAGTGGGTGGCAAGGCCTAGCAACACCGTATAGGAAGCTACGGTGTACCACAGACCACAGCTGTTCGTGCAGTCAAACGGGGGAATTAATGATTTCGGCTGGAAAATTCGTACGACCTTTCGAAAAATGCCATTCTTTATTAAATATTGTGGGATGTGTGGCAATGGCAACTAATATCCTGCAGATGTTCTGAAATGTTCTAGAAGTTTCGAATTTCGTTCAAGCAGGAAAATTGTGAGCCATTTGTCATTTGAGTTGATTTGACAAAGGAGATTACTAATGCCGCGTAATGGTTTAAAATATACATATAGATATACATGGTTTAAAATATAATGGTTTAAAATATACATAAAGGCATTGGGTCGTTCAAAATCACAAACAGTTGAATAATGAAACCTCAAATCCATGCACGAATTGCTAAAATCAATTCTAGTTAACTTACTGATGATTTAGACTCGTTCCATGACCAATGTCAATGACAATGTATAGGCATTACCAGTAACAAAATCTGAAAACAACGGCAACTCCGAATAAGAACATTATTCATTCTTTTATATTTCGACCAAGTCGTTGGTTATCGTCAGTCATGATGATTATCAGATGATTCATTTTATTGGATTCCGGACAATGACTAAACATATAGTGTGTCGAACTCGACATAAATATATTACTAATTAATAAACTCGTATTAAGAGTTATTGCTATTTTGTATTTAGATTTTACTATATAATAATCGGTGGTTTGGGAACAAAATTTTATTTAGATGTACAGCAAAAGCAAGTTTAAAGGTCTGGTTTAAGCACAGGAACTAATTATTCCAATTAACTCGTGCTATGAGTATGTGTACGTCAACAAGCTTTCGTTGATAGGGATGCAACTACCTGAAAATTCGACGTTTCGAGCGAAGGCCCTTCGTCGGGAAGTTAGGAAACGTCGAATTTCTCCTTGTATTTTTCAAATAGTTGTATCCTTACCAAGGAAAGCTTGTTATTATTGGCACTACCTGCTGCCCCCTGGCACCACAGACAGTTCACGATTATATCTGACGTCAGTTCAAAAATATTCATCACGTACATGTCAGAAATTTGTCAGATTAAAAGATTTTATAGATGAATAAATTCTCAACAAGAATACTTTATGCAAGTATTCTTTGTGCATGTACATATTTTTTTGTTCAATTGAACTATATACTGTATATAAATGATAATATGAATATCATTAAATATTGAATCTTATCTATTAGTATTAATAAATATGTTTTGCAATACCAATATGACGTGATGTAATTGAATCTGCATTCGCTTCCACGACCCATAAATATTTACAGGGTATTAATATACAGCTATTATACATTTCACTATATTTTGCAGTCAAGTTTCATTAAGATAAAACTGTTTTTAAAAGATCTTTCTGTTCAGAATTAAATTGGTCTGGAAATATAATGTCAAAAGTTAAAAGAAGGTTACCAAATTTTCCATCCTGTTCAGGATGTGGTAAGCCCTCCCCAGGAAACGTCTTAGTAAATTTAGGTTTGATAACCCGTCCACCTGAATTGAAATGAAGTTTCCTGTCTCCGGATAATGTTGGTATTTCATATGTTGTGTCTCCAATTAACGCCCGCCTTAGATTTATCTTGATTGTATAAATGAGGTTATTGTCTAAATCCCTTTGGTACAACTCATGTGGGTTATCTTTCAAAACAAACACAATATCAGCTGGTATTACCCCACGTTTCTCGTCACCTTCCTTTGGAAAGGTAATCGTCGTTCCTTCTTTCGAGCCAGGCTTGACATCGATTTTCAAAATTTTTTCTACTTTCCTTGATGTGATATGATCCGGATTTAGGACTGTTTTAGTGATTTTCATTTTTTTCGTACACCCTGACTTGATTTCTTCCAAAGTGACACGTAAGTCTTTATAGATTGGGGGATCTTGTATTATTTGTCGCTTGGACGGCAGTGGCGGCTTAAAAGTCGTATCTCCAGTGCTAGCTCTCCTCTTCCCAACCTTCATTCCCAAGTCTATGAGATCATCAATAAGGTCAGATTTTCTATTACATGTAGTTACAAAAACTTGAGTAAAGATTTTTTGGGCAAGATCTTTGTTAATCGCTGAAAATGAGAAAGTCGAGTTTGAAGTATAATTTGTTCCATTGCGATCAAATTCTTCTCTGCTGATTTCATTGCTCAGTACGACGTATGCTTCGGTTATTTCATTGAATTTGATTGATGCTCCAGGATTACTATTTCTATCGGGGTGATATTTCAACGCCAATTGACGATACATTTTCTTGATTTCTTCGACGGATGCTTGCCGAGAAATATTTAACACTTTGTAGTAGTCTATAGCCATACTTTTCAAAAATATAGAACTATTCACGCCGTTGCTCTCAATTTGACTGCCGTACTCAAAGAAAGCTAAAACTTACATTAGTTTCGTTATGAGAGGCCCCCATTTCCATCTCAATGGAAACGTCGAGAAAGTGTCCATATAAGGTATCAGTTGCCAAATATGGAAAGTGTCGGGACATTGTCAGACAGCAGGGAAAAGCCAACTTCTTGTGGCGGATATTCTAGAAATTTCCTGAAGTTGTTCGATTCAGCTGTTGAAATATGAAACGATCATACAAATGCTAATGTAGACTATTATAATCAATAGTTTCTAGATCTACATTACGCGAAAATTTGATGTGATTTATAATGTGAATTATAGTTACAATAATAATATGCATATAGTTACTAATGAGGATGAATGTGATTACATATTGTGAGTGGGCAGTCGAAAATTATATTTTCTTTTATTTTCTTGCCTTTTCAGCTTTTCTTGATAGAAACTTCTCTTACTTCTCTTCATTTTAAACATATGTAATATTTATAAATATGCGATCTAGAATGATCAAATAAACAATGAAAGGTACCGGTTTCGCATACAACGAACTATATAGTATATGAATGCACGCTGAGTGCATATTTTACCCATGATTTTCATTTCAGTGATAATTAGTGACTGACCGTATATATCATTTTGACTTGCAACACTAATGGCCACTATTGCACTAATAAATTATTAGTTATCGCTCAAAGCTTTTGATGGGATGCCCTTGGTATATTCGGCAGTGTTGGCCTGCAGCCTGGTTAATATTGTTAACAATACTGCATGATTATTCTAGCCTGATCCATGCACGACAAAATATTTTGTAGGAATTTGCGGCAAAGAAACATTTCTCGAACAATTTTAATATCGGTGGTTGCACAACTTTATTTGACTGAGTTTCCCATTTTGTTTTTCTCAGTAAATATAGAGATTGGAGAAACAAACGTTTCGTTTGCAAACCAAACTCAAAAATTTCAACCTTCACTGCACATGCTCAAACATATCGGCTTATCGCTGTATAAGGCAGCGTTTACACTGTACCGTTTCCGTAGCGTTCTCGTATTGTTCGAGAGAACTAGACTATTGTCTTGCGTTCCCTTGAGGATTAAGAACAATACGAGAACGCTACGAAAACGGTACAGTGTAAACGCTGCCTAAATTTCGCTATAACGCGCGCGTTGCTATATAATCCCGAGATCCAGCGCATGTGGACCGGAGTCTTGAAATATAGAAAAAACGCACATATATATTTAGCACTCTAATCAGATGTCAAGATAGTATAGATATTGTTTATATAACTTCACCTGCAGCTAGTTGCTTAGATTGGACTGAGAAATGACTGTGATTATAAAAGGCTATACTGAATACTGCAATAAGTCATATACTTTCTAAAGAAGCCTAGCCTGTGTTTTCGGTTGGCGGTATCAGTATACCATACAATCATTTTCTTATCGAAACGATCAATCTATGCGTATGAAAGTATAATAAAAGGCAGTATGAAAGTATAATAAAGAAGTGTGGGTCAGCTTAGGGATGTTCATATGGGGATGTGTGGGTCAACTTAGGTGGAAGTGTGGGTCAGCTTAGGGATGTTCATATAGGGATGTTCATATAGGGATGTTCATATGAGCCGGGCCAGCCCACCTAGCCGGGATGAATCGTGTCACAAAAAGTTTTGGAAACAAACTAACGTATAATTCATCTTTGAAATGTCATTTTGCCTTTTTGGATGTTTACCAAAGTCGTTATTATAAGAGCTTCACCCCGACCTGCATGGCCAGCCCGATATGAAGCGCCCCTTAGTCAGTGAATGTTGGATTATTTGAAGTTAGCGCCGGTGAAGTTGGATCCAATATAGCTAGCTTGCCCTTGGTCTTCGCCGCGCGGTACAAACTTAACTATAGCGCCACTCAACACTTGTTGGAAGATTGTGCACCGGTATTGGCCGTATCAACTATGACGATTAATGAACAATGGCATGCTACTATATGTAATGATAATACTCTGAAAAAACATAAGTCTTATTCATTTCTCAGAATAAGTCTCACTTTCAGTTTCTGTTATGCCGTTTTTAACAGCCGTCATCTTGCAGTGCTGGGCTTTAATTACCTTTATTGTACTCGTCTTCATCATCATCACGGAAAATGTTTATCCAGTACCTTCCACAAGCTATATATAGAGACAAAAAAACTTTGTTCCAGGATATATAATAATTCATTTCTGAGAGCTTGCACGACAGAATAAGGCCTTAATATATTAGGGTCTGTCTAAAGTCAAGAAACATTTCCAAGTATACTACATTTTAAAAAATAAATTGAAAAGTTAGAGACAACATCCCATTTATGTACCATTTAAAACATGAGCAGCAGTGTTTTATCTGACATTATAATATAGCATTTGTAAATTCTCAACGCTGATTGGCTAAGAGCCGTGTTGATATAGTCAATGTCAACACGGAAACGTCGGAAAATTTCTTTCTTTATGTTTCTTTGTGCCATTACCAGAAATATGGGACAAGATGGCGACGGACATGCGCACTTTGACCAAATATGGCAACCAAATATTACTATAAACTATATGGGAGTTGATCAAAATATCAAATTTTAATATACTTTGTTTAAATATTTCATGGTTGCGGAGCTCGATTATAGTTGCGACACCAACAAGCAATATTTCTAAACAAAAATCGCTAGTATTGCACCGCGTCTAGCAGGT